TATCAATATGGTGATTTCCTTTCGTCCTTCAATGATAATGTTATTCAGCTTATCAGACAATATGAAAAGGAACTTACATAAAATAAATAGACAAAACTATATTATTTAATGAAACATGCATCAATGAAAAAAATTGCTGCCTAAATATACATAATATATATATATATATATATATATATATATATATATATATATATATATATATAGTATGTGTTTGTGTGTGTGTGTGAGAGAGAGATAGATAGATAGAGAGAGAGAGATAAATAAAATTAAATGTTCGCATGTGTGTTTTTACTCTGGATTTCTCGGCGATTCGATATACTTACCTACATCATATGAAGACTTCCAACAGCAGTAAGAACTAAAATGGATTGCAACATGTTAACTCGAAGAGAAAATAATAAAAGTAACCAGACGTTGTCTTTCCGCACTACCGTAAACAAAAGGTTAAGCAAGGAAACTCGTATCAGTACTAAAAAGAGAGATAACGGCGTCCTTGAGAAAATTCTTTTCCATAAAATCTGTTTTAAGAGAAAAATCTTATAAATTTCAACTGACATTAACGTTAATTATTCAGTCAATGTCTGCCCAAAGTTTCCTGTATAAAAACAATTAATGTCATCATTATTCTTGCATTTATATTTAGTGTATATATATATATATATATATATATATATATATATATATATATATATATATATATAAATAAATAGCAGGGCAGATTGGGCTCTTTTGCTATGGTTTGCAATATTATGTATAGAAATATATATATATATAATATATATATATATATATATATATATATATATATATATATATATATATATAAAAATGCAATTATGTTGTTTAAAATTGACGTCGACATTTCATTCATATATATATATATATATATATATATATATATATATATATATATATATATTCTGTTTATGCGTTATATTAATAATATAAATTTAATTCTATTATTTAAAAACATAAATTTTCTGTTTTTTAATTAAACATCATTAAATGCATTTGCCAGTCCGTATCTATTAAAATACGGTTTAAACAGAAAATATATTAAATAGTTGTCCTTCTCCCACGAAAGCGCCAGTAACATTTTACCCTGCCGTATGATCTCAACAATGTCTTTCTGTTTAACTCTTTGTTTTTATTTATAAAACCCAACCTAAGAAAAACTAAGATAAAACAAAAACAACAACAAAAAAAACAAAGTAGACCTCGTGTATACCTTCTCCTACACCACTGAAAAAAAAAGAACGAGGAACTCGATCTCCCGTATATGTGTTTCTGTGTAGCACTTATCCATAGTACCAAATTCGTCTTTGCACTCTAACGTCCTCAGAATGTAGAGACGGTAATCTTCGGACGAATATCTGGAAAATGATCACACTGGTCAACATGATTTTTGGTGCCTAGAAACAAAACACGTTTTTTAGCTAATTTGTTGGTGCTGATTCCGAAATGACTTTAGTTTTTCGTGGTTAGCTACCGTTTTTGCTGTACTGAAATAGTTAATTTTTGGAAAAAAGATAAATTTACGATCTTGGCTAATCGTAAGATTTAGTTAATAAAGGTCATAGAATCCCATCAATTTTCAGGTAGGCCGAGCAATTTATGTCAGCCACCTGAAAAAACATTTTATAAAAAATAGTGTTTTTGAGTCAAACATTTTAAAATAGATGTACCGAAGTTTTTCAATTTAATACCAAAATTCAAATTAACTAATAAACTTTATCAGTAATACACTTTAGTAAGCCTGATAATTAAAGTGACATCAAAAAAATGAAACCCGAAAATCTTCTGTTTGATATTCATACATTTATCCCATCACTACAGGAGGAAACCAAGCACATTGAGAGCATTTTGTTTTCACAGAAACACTAACTAAAGATATTCCAATTGAATGCACCTATTCCATTGTATATAATACTGTTGGAGTATCAAAAGGGACTTAAAATAACATTGAACATGACAGAGAATCAAGAAAGAGAAAATTTTTACCAGAGTTATTTTCACGAATATTTTATTTCTGCTGTTAGTTTATTAAATGGTTTGATGAAAATAATTGTGGGTCTTGGTATATTCAATCGTGTTATTTTTAAAGACTTAGGCTCGGATTGTTATTGCAAAAATAGTATTTCTCAATAAGAAAACCAATATTTGTTGGTTTAAATATGAATTGCCAGGTTTCTACGATTTTATTTTGTGAAATATTGCCATCGGTCAGCATTATATATACAGAAAACAAATGAAAAAAATGATTTTTTGTCAAAAATGAGGCATTTTTGAACAGTAAAAACGCTAGCTAACCAACAAAAAAAAAAAAAAAAAAAAAAGAAGTAAAGTCATTTTCAGATTCAGCGCATTCAAATTAGCTAAAAAAGAGATGTTTGGTGTCTCGACATCATTTCCAAATTTTCTTTTATTGACCAGTGTAAATATCCTCACTCAATCCTCCTCGGCAAGCTTTCATATCTGCATTGACTTCAATATTCACCATAAAGAATGACTAGTCCATTCCAACAAAACCGATGTTGAAAGCAGCGACTTCTCCATCACCTATGAGCTAACCCAACCCTGGACACGACTGGGAATCAAACGAACCTCCTCGACCTCTTCCTAGCCTCCTTCCCTGATTAATGTTTATCAAAAGTTCTACCGCCACTGGACACGTCAGACCATTCCCTAATCAGTGTCCAGATTGATGCCAAAACTAAGGCATCCCTTGATATACCGTTACATAGAACGATTTTTCGCTATGCGAAGTCAGACTGGGACATCTTTCAATCCTATATGATGGAAGCTTCCCTCCCAACCTTAAAAACTGCTACCCTTGTCTCTGATTGTATACCCCCCCAAAAAAAAAAATTCCAGTAAAAACCAAAGTCAACCCTGGTTCACGTCTGAATGCGCTGCAGCCATAACTCACCGGAGCCATTACTTCAATATCTATCGCAAGGAGCGATGCAGTTTGGACCTCACTGCATTCAGAACTGCTTCCGATAGCTGCAAAAAAGTTCTAGAAAACGCCAAGTGCAGCTACGCACGAGCAGTCCTGATCAAGGTTGACAAGAAACAAATTGGATCCCGTGAATTCTGGTAGATCACCAACCACATCATGAACAGCGGTAAAGTGGCTGTACGCACAATGATAAATGGCCCCTAGGTCATATCTTTCTCTTCGCCTCCATCACTTCCCAGTTCCTACGTCACACTGAGCACAATGTCATTAATATTACCATCACATCACGAGAAGTCTCCAGACTTATCAAAGGTCTTGGCCCCAAGAAAACCTCTGGTTCTGAGAAAATTGCAGTGGTTGTCCTTAAGAATATCAACCCAGAATTATTCACAATCCTTACAAAGTTATTCAACCGTTGCTTAGAGTAGAAGACCTTCCCAAGCCCGTGGAAAGTGTAAAACGTATGTCCGTTTTTCAGTAGGTCCCTGAATATAGTTATCAATGGCTAGTCCTCTGGAGGCCTAAAGGTCAGTGCAGACGTCCCCCAGGGGTCACCCCATGAACCAACCCTCTTTTTGATTTTCATAAACGATCTGTTTAACAATATTCTCTGGTCATTTATAAACATTTGTGCCGATGATACGACTATATACGGGCGCACTTCTGAAAATCTCGATGGTCAGGGATTGGCGACTGATCTCTTTTCCAATCTTGCACAAACTAATCAATGGGTTAAAAACTGGCTGGCTACATTCAATGACTCGAAGACAAAGCTAGTTACATCCCATCGTCGCCGATGTGACCCCGAATTACCACCAATCAGGATGAACAGAGGTCCTCTCGGAGAAGCACCGTGCCTTGAATGTCTGTTGGGCCTCAAACTCACACCCGAACTTAAGTTGAACTCGTACATACGATCCATTATTAAGGATGCGGGTAACATGGTCGGCCCTCTGTAATGTTCCTATAAGTGCCTGAATACTTCTGCTATCCTCTACCGTTACAAGAACCAGATCAGGCCAAAAATGGAGTACTATTGTTTATTTGGGTGGGAGTTGCCCAGAACTCACTCTCCAGATTTGATAGAGTTCAAAGGCGTCTCCAAGACCTTGTGAATAACGAATTATTCTTCACCCTTCAACCTCTCTCCTACAGGCGGGATGTGACAAACCTCGCTACCGATTATTAACCAACTGAAATTTCTATTTAACGTAGATTTCTAATTTGCGTAGATCTGACTTTTAATTGGATAATTGAGACATTCCTACAAGTATAATTTTAATTCTGACCTTATGCTCCACTTTTAACTTTCGGAAAATAATTAACGATCTGTGTTTAAATATCCCTAACAATTCATTTTTATCACCAGTTACCAACCATCTCCTGAGGAAGTCCAATCATAGTATTGAAACACGAAAGTTTTTGTGTAGCGATTTCAACATGTTTTTTATTATAATCTCTTATAATAGAAATATAATAATATTTTGCTCTACTTTCATTGAGCACTTTTTAAAAGTAAATGCTACGAACTGTGGATTTTTACGCCTTTTCTTATTTCTCATATTTGGATATACATACATACATATATATATATATATATATATATATATATATATATGAATTTTCCTATACTTGTATTTTGATTGGTCATTCTAGCTTTTGGAACAACGTTTTCCCCTTGTGAAAGATCGTTAACGAATTTGAAACTTTTAAAACCACTTGTTTTGCATTCAACATCATCACTTGATAAGACACCGGGAGTGTTGAAACAAAATGGATATTTTTGTAGTGAGTTTATAACATGTTTATGTTATAAATTTTTTAAATAAATAATTAAATATATATATTTTTGGGGCACTTAACGCTGAGACATTATACAGTGAAAGATTTAACACAAAATTCAGCTGATACTTTTGTTAAGTTTTGGCTACAGTTTTATTGATGCACCCTTGTATATGTACACATTTACTATTTTACTAAATTCATTTCCTCTTATTTCTAACAAGTGATTTTCCCTTTTCTTTTCGCTTATCAGAAAGAACATATCGTCATCAAACAGTCATTGATGAAGAACACGTCCTCCTGGAAATTCTTGATACTGCCGGACCGGCCAAAGTAAGCATAACCATTTTATTCTTTCCTGTAATTGTTTAACTAATGGTACACTCTGAGAGCAAAAGTCTGTGCAGCAATCTATTTTTTTCGGGACTTGTATATATCAGCACATTTTAAAATAAAATGTGAATACCATTAACCGTGTAACCGTGATAATTGTGGTAGCGATAATTTTGATATGAATTTTTCATAAATTTGCAGTCGAATCCATTACATTCACTTATGTGCTAATACCCATGGGAAAGGTGTGAATCCTCTTCTTCTCCCTCCAGCTATGGATAAATAGCAAGACATACCGGGTTCTATAGCCTTGGATGGCAACTGGTCTACCGCAGAAAGAAATGGCAATCTACTGCAGGAAAAAATCTGCCTCTTCAGTCATGTATCGAAAGATACATGATCGCCTACGCGTGTATCACGCATAGCACATAACTGACTGACCTGTAGTAGACTAACAATGTCTGACGACGACGAGGATGATGATTTTTTTCTTTGCTTCGTGGATCACTATGTTTCGTTTCTTTCCCTTCGTAGATCAACATTTTATTATTGTTGTTTATTTTTCTTCCCACCATAGATAATTTTTTAGAAGTTCGTACGCCAGTTCATTCCTACGTTGCTGCTGCTTTCACGCCTTCGATATAGAAACGTTGTTTTCGGTCTCTATTGTCAAGATGCCATTAATGAAGATGATTAATAAATAGAGATTAAATTTAAGCAAAATTACCGCGGCTCCAGTAAACAACCATGAAAGCAGAAGAAAATGATACATTCAAAATTAGAGGCAATATGCAATACGTCAAATAAAATAAATGCCTAAAAAAAAAAAAGAAAAATGGCTGGGAGTCACAAGGCGGATATATTTCGTTAGAGAATTAACTACAATTGATGGCAGATTTGGTTCTTTAGCTGTATATTACACCACACGCATACGCGTGATCACAAACATACACACAAAACAAACGGATATATATATATATATATATATATATATATATATATATATATATATATATATATATGGCTGTTTCATGCTAGACGCAATCGATTGCGTCCAGCATGAAACAACCTGTCGCCTCCGAGTGTTGACTTCAATGCTCACTTTTATATATATATATTTTATTAATAATTTATTCCTTTTTAAAATTTAAAAGTGCGTCCCAGAATTTTCGTTATTCTACAAATGTACCGTGAAATAAAAACGGTTGAGAAGCACTACTTTATTCTGACAGCCATTTACAAAATCTCACTATGAAGGTTATGAACTGTTTTCCTATGTCCTTCTTGTCTTCAATATGTCTTGTGAGATAAAATTTTCTAAGCTTTCTTTCCTCATTATGTAACGTAAAACTTTCAAATCTCATTTTCTGGTTCTAGTTTCCTTTTTGTTGCCAGTTTCTCTAAAAAAATCTTCATTCTTGCTCACATATTAATTTTATGTTATTCCCAATATAACCACATATCTCTTATCTCACGTCTCTTCTTCATTTGTGATGAGATTCTCATATAGGAGAAACTATATCGCCTAAAATTTACAACGCTGTTTTTTGTTTCAAATTAAATTTTCCTGTTTCTTAATATATTTGCTTAGATTTTGGAAGGCAATTTTCGCTATCCCGATGCTCTTATTCCGTGCTCTGTTAAAGACATTCCGAGACATTTAAATTTTTGTACTTTCTGGATTTTGGTACCTTTATTATTATTATTATTATTTTTGCTAATTCAAAGTTGGGTTGTTTCAATAGCTGAAAACTGTAGACTCTTTCTTCTTATAACTGATGTTTAGTCTTTTCTTCTCTCTTTCTTTTACTAACTTCTGTAGGAATTCCTCTAGTTTTCTTTCTGTGTCTTCGATCAAACATTGCATATCTAAAGGTGTTAAGATTATGGCCATTATTAATGAATCCTGGTAGAACTTATAATTCTTTCAGGAGTGCTTCATTGTGAAGGTTCAATAAGTCCGATGAGAAGACATGTTCTTGTCTTTTCGCCCATTCCTATTTTTGTGTATTTACTAAATGAGTTTCCTATCCTCAGGCAGGCGGTTTGCTCCCCGAATAAGTTCATTATTATTCTTATATCATTCCCAAATAAATTAAGCTTACCTAGCAGTCCTAACAGTTGAAACTATTTAATCTATTAATGTATAATGTCTATTTTTTGTTTAGCGTCGGGGTTACTTATAATTATATATCTGCCAGTCCTAATATTATCAAGGTAAATTAAGGAAAAATCTTAATGTATTAACGGGTTAATTTTAGAAAACATCTTCCGCTGTTCCCACAAACCTTCAGATTTAGTATCGCACTTTCCACCCCTTTTTAAACACTTCATAAATATTTAAATTTTTCCATTTATTTAATTTTGGTATTTACAATTTGTAATTTGCAGGTTGAGCTGTTCTTTTTATTAACAACCATGCATTCTGTCATGTCGCAATTGATGTAAAGTTCTTTCTCATTTTCCTTCGCTATGTTCTGTAGCAGTTCTTGAATCTTCATTTCTGTGTCTACTATCAAGACTGTTTTATTTGCATATTTAATGTTGTTAAGATTGTAGCCGTCAATAATAAATCCTTGCAGGGCTTCTAGTTCTCTCAGGATTGTTTAAACATGTTTAGAGGTTTAAGTATAGACAAATAAATACTACTGCTGGTAAGTGCTTTCTTTCCTTTTATTCTCTTTTTATATATCTTTTCGGGTTCATGCCTAGAGATTAGGATCTCGTGCACAATCAATATTCTCCTGATCCGACGACACATTAATCAAGGTTACTTTCTCGCTCAGCTTGAGAAGAGCCAAGGTTAATGATGGCGTTTCGTATACAGGATGTCACAAAAAATTTGACATCATTTCTCAGGCCAATAATTTTGGCAATTCTCGTTGAATTAGCCTCAAAATTTTCACAGAATGTATAGAAACAGATCAAAATTTTATATTTAATGTTTTACTTTTGTTATCTCAATGAGAATCTGTCAGAGTGAAGAATCGGGCGTGGTGGAGATGAAGACATTTTTCTGATGAAATGGCCACCGCTGTCACCGGACCTATCCACGTGTGATTTTTTTTTTTTTATGGGGATATGTGAAGAGACTGCTTAGTGTCTCCTCTCTTCTTGCTAGCATTGATAAACTCAAGCAGAAAATCACTTCCGCACTGGATAATGTTACCGGAGACTTGCTACGTGTTTGGCAAGAATTTAACTACCGACTTCACGTGTGCCGTGTCACAGGCGGTGCACATATTGAACATGAAATCGGTCCCATAATAAACTTATGATGTTCAACACCTAAACTGTTGAATTTCATTGGGCTAGACTTAGTAATTCTCAAGATAATTGCTTTTAAAATGATGTCAAATTTTTTGGGACCCCTGTATATCATTAATTAGTAGAATGCATTTTCAGCAAAATTTTCTTATTTATTATTGTCTTTATTTAAGATATTTCTTTCATGAATGTGTTATCAGCCAAACATATTTTCTCTTTTTCTATCTATTATTTTAGGATGACAGTATACAAAGAGAAGGGATGATCCGGTGGGCTGATGGATTTGTAATTGTTTATGCCGTTAACGACAGGGAGAGCTTTGACGAGGCGCGGGACACGAAACAGTACCTAGACCAAGTGAAAAGAACCAATGTCCATTGCGTGCTTATCGGGAACAAAACCGACCTGCTTCATGAGCGTAAAGTGACGACGTCTGAAGGGCGGCAGTTAGCTCTGGAGTTGTCCTGCGCTTTTGTCGAAACGTCAGCCAGCGACAGCATGCTAGAAATATCTGAGGCGTTCCAGGATCTCCATCGGGATATACGACGCCGGAAACAGATGGAGGGGAAGCCTAGACGTCGAAGCTCTGCGCAACAAATGCGTCAGGCCTTTAGCAAAATGTTTAAAATTCAGGGCCCAACGTGAGATTCTCGGGGTGCGAAAATGGGTTAGAATATTTGTATAAATCATTTTTCGCTTAAGTGAAAAGAAAAAGAAAAGAAACGAAAAAAAAAAAAAACAAATAAAAAGAGAAAGAAAGCCAGAAAGTAAAGGGAAAAAAAATGACAGTCTCAAAATAAATTAATGAAAACAAAGAGGCACGCTAAATATAAATAAAAGCGTTATTTTTGATTTCATTAAAATCCAAGTAGATATTTTCATTCGGACTCACGTCCTCCATTTTGATATACGAGGGTTGATTGATAAATAAATTATTAAACTCCATAAAACACTATAAAACCTTATAAAATTATCAGATCCTACAAAATTATCAAACTCTATAAAACCCTATAAAATTATCAAATTCTATCAAATTATCAAACCCTTTAAAACCCTATAAAATTATCAAACTCTATAAAATTATCAAACTCTATAAAACCCTAAAAAAATATCAAACCCTCTAAAACCCTATAAAATTATCAAATCTTATAAAATTATAAAACCCGATATAAATAATTTTTAAACCAAATAGATTCATCAAGCTGGTATTAAGATGAAACAGAATTATTTCTCTTCAAAATTATGAAATATTTTTTAACATTGTCATTGTTTAGTGTTAATTTTTTTTTCTAAACGTTCTATCCATTTTTTCATTCCATTCATGAAGTTTATGATTTGATTTTAATTCCAACCGAATGGTAATTAATTCGTTAACGTATTGTGAATCATTACAAATATTCAAACAATGCACTCATGAAATAACACCAGAGATAATTTTTTTTTTTTTTTGGTAATATACTAGGAACTCCAAAAACTCCATAAGAGAAACAAAGACACTAAACAAACTAAGAGAAATTTCAAATTCACAATCGATACACAATCTTCGTAGTGTCCCGGTTTGAAACCATAAGACGTCTGGTTCTTCCTGAAATTGTTATAAGCGTTGAGACGTCAATATATTTTTATTCGATGCTGCGAAGTTGCTGCGTGCAAATGGATAAAAATAAATAAATATGAAATGTTCTACATGGACGGAATGAAAAATCGGGAAAATGTTTGGAAAATTTGTAGAACTATATAGTGTATATACTGACGATTAGACTTTTAATTTCAATGAGAAATAAATTTACTTCCAGTACCATTATACTTCATGGTGTAAAATTTGTGTAAAAATTTATTTATCAATCAGCTCTGCTAGTTTTAAAAAATATTTTTTTTTTACATTTTTAATGCGACTTTTTCATGAACAATCCTTCATAGCTATTCTCGACTGAATTATTGTTATGAATTTGCTAGCTTCAATTCTTCCTATGTTCAACGTTGGTCCATCTATGCCGCCTTGTGTTTTATGTTGCATTACAAAGAGAAAAGTGTCGAATGTTTTCACAGATTTGTCTGTCTTTCTCGTGGCTGAACATAAGCAATTTTCCTCATAAAAGCGACATCTTTATGACGATAATAGCATGACAAATGGAGTCTACTTAAACTATTACTTGTGCAGACGATTATAATCTTCGTAAAATCGGCAATGAATTTCATTATGACTTGCCGCATTCAGATTCTGAAACTCTTACAAGTCTTGTGTACTTTCTTTGACTTGATTATAAACCATGATGCATCAAAACAGTCTCACATATATACATACATACATACATACATACATACATACATACATACATACTTAAGCGCACATTTATGTACGCACAAGTGAACAGAGTTACATACAAGTATAAAAATACACATGCAGATATTTCTGTATGCTGATACTACATCTATCTATCTATCTATCTATCTATCTATCTATCTATCTATCTATCTATCTATTATATATAATACATAAAAGGTTAATGGTCAGAGTTGAATCAGGCCAGGAAAAAGTAGTATTAAAACGTGCTCAATACACGTGTAAAAAATATAATAAAAGTAAAAATAATAGTTTTTAACAAAAAATCAACTGACCTCCTGATTTTTAAAGTTATCATTATATATATATATATATATATATATATATATATATATATATATATATATATATATATATGTATATATGTATGTATGTATGTATGTATGTATAAGGTTAATAGTCAGAGTTTATTCAGGCCAGGGAACAGTTGTATTAAAAGTGCTCAATACATGTGAGAAAAAATAAGTAAAAATAAAAATGACACGTAGAGCTTTTAAGTTTAAAATCAGGAAGTTACTTAAAATACACGGCCACGGTTACGACCTGGCGATCTCGTCGGGCGTTAATTTAAAAATTTTGAAATTAACGCCTATTTTTTTCAAAACCGTGGTCGCGTATTTTAATTGACCTGGTAATTTTTAAACCACACACACACATATATATATATATATATATATATATATATATATATATATATATATATATATATATATATATATATATATATATATATACGTGTACTTAGGCAGAAAATTTTCTTTAAAGCGAATGATATTAAAGACTTGATGACTTAAAAAAAATGGAAATCTTGGGTCATATTTCTCCAAAATTAACTTTGAAGTTTCTTTCCTAACGTTTTGTTTAAAGTGGTGTGGAAAGACAACACTTTGATTATTTCCTATTCGAGTTACATGTGTTATTCATTTTAGTTGTTGCTGTTGTTGAAGGTCAAACCAAAAAGAATAAATAAATAAACCAACTGATAAAAATAAATAATTCATAATTAGTAACAGCAAAATTGGAAAACATTAAAACCTAATAAATTGACAACGTCGTCTGCTGTCAATATATAAAGTTTTTCGCCTTTTTTTATATGAAAGAGAAAATCTATTTTACTGACATGACTCTAAATATCATTGCGTTAAAGTATTTCAAACCGAAAAACTCCTATTCGGTGTGTGCAAAAGTTCTGGACGCTATTATTTTGAGAATATGTAGCTGAATATATTGTTGAAAACTGGTTTGTCTCTGTTAACTTTTGCGCATATCCAATATAAAGTATGCTAGAAAAACGTAATTTTAAATGTTCATACTAAATTTAATTAATTAATTTTAATTATTTTTTTTTAATTAAAATGTATATTAAAAAAACATGGCGTAGTATTCTTTTGTTTAATTAGACGATTATCCATAAAGACTATTTTTCAGATTTTCTTTCCTTAATAAGTGAAAGCCTGGATGTGCAGGCGCAGATATGAGGAGGCTAAGCTGTTTGCGTTCAAATGTGCACTACGATATAGATCTAAACCCAACGAAAATACACATTAGAATACCAATAATAATAATAATAATAATAATAATTATTATTATTATTATTATTATTATTATTTAGTAATTTATATTATATCAGACTCGTATACACAGACGCATGCACACGCGCGCACACGCGCGCACACGAAACAAAAACAGCGATGGGAGGTAAGCATGAACTGGTTAAAAGTTGAATTGTTAGACAAAATAGATTTCCGTTCAGAAATTAAAAATCAAAACAAAACAATTATAAAATAAAAAAAAATCTGTAAAACACTGACTGACGAGAAAATTCATTGGAAGGAAGCGAATATATGTGTCCGGGAAAAGAACGCTGATCTTAAAACGAGGCTATTTTCACATGCATCATCCTACAAGACGAATCCGGTAGCCATATCACAATAGTAATTGCCGTATATTTCCGTGTAAAAGACGACCTTTAAATCCCAAAAGTCACCCTTAAAAATTGGGGGGAGGGTCGTATTCTACTACAATTCTGAAAAAGAAACTTTAAATTCTGACTGACGTTTGTTATTAGGCTGAGCTCGGCCTCGGTGTTATAAACAATAATGTACATGAAAAGATTCACATTATCAAATAAACTGATAATAAAAGTAATAAAACCATGTCAATCTTATATATTACTGGCATAACTTCATAATAAATTGCCTATTCAAAGAATAATTCCATATCAATGAAATCAACTTGTATTCATGCAAGCTCAGATGAGAAAATATAAACATTGAGTTATGATGGCGTTCACCTTTATCTTTCGCTAAACTTTCAATAATCATCATTTTACTGAATAAAAAAAAATAGTACACCAGGTTGTTTGTAACTGTTTAGATATAGAAAAAGAAGAGGAAGAAGAAAAATCAGTATTCGCAAGAGATCACGTGATGAAACGTAAACAAAATAATGCTTTACTTTATGTAGAAAAAACATGATATAGAATCAGTTTTGTTATTTCGTTTATTTTGAATTTTTAAGGATTCAATAAGTAACAACATTTTCCAATAACATCATCTTTATATAATCAAGGAGCAGTCATCTTATACTGCAGGTATAGGATAAATTCATGAAAATTTGCTATATTTTTTGACTTCGTCTTATCTAAAGATCGCCTTATACGGCGAAATATGCGGTATGTTATTACATCTTCATACCAGTGGCTTAACCTAGAGCTTAAATGAGAAATTTTTCTCATTAAACTTTTACTCGGCATTCACGCATGCGCATTGTGTTGTAATGGTTAGCGAGGCTCGTCTTGTGAACTAATACTACTGAGACCTTGGGTTCAATATTGACTGGTTCCCTCATACTTGTAGCCTAGTGCCAAAACCCTAGCTACCCCACGTAAATACCGATCGCTTCTTAGCCTTTTGACCCCGATACGAAAATTTACCAAAGTCGAGTTCTAGGGAACTTTCCTCATAGATTGCACCGTCCCCATTGCCCGTAAGGGGGAAAGGAAAGAATAAATCCCTGATTGTCTGTGGCATCCCCAAAATGGAAGTGCTTAGAGAACTGGACAATTTGTAACCGTGTGTCAAACCTACAATCTTAGAGGAATGGGAAGCTAGGCAAATAGTTTGACAGTATTCACTTAAGACTTTGCAAAAAAAAATATCAGTGTCACTCCGACTGATGACGTCACTTCCGACCAGTATTCATTTCGACTTTAGTAATATTTTCTTAGCATGTATCCTATTAGAAATGTGCCTTCTTTATTCCTTAAGGATCCATACATTTTCGATATGGCACAAAAATAAAAACACAAACGATTCTTTTAACCAGCCACGGCGAGATATGACCGAAATTGTCTCTTCCCAATTCATATCTATTACTAATCCTATGATTTAAGGATTAGAATAAAGTACATTTTTCCAATTCATGTAAGCGTTGGAAATCTAACGCATTGAGATTGATTTTTCATGCTTAAAATTATTTGAATAAAAACTTTTTAAATTAACTTGTAATGATTTCTTTTGTTTAAATTTTTGTCTATTATTGTCGATAGTAATTTTTATTTTTTCCCATATTGAGTTTGATTTCAGCGTTAAAATCAAAATTGTTTTCATGATAACCAAATGTTTCCAAAGAAGAAACGCAGAAACTATACAAAAAGAACTTAGCAGAAAAAAAAATTGATGATTTCAGTCGATGTTATTAAAAAGAGAATGAAAGCAATTTTTGTATCACTCGTGGCATCAGGAGAACTACTTCCGGGAGCACTGCCCCCCCCCCCCGGACAGTTACCCCCTGGAAATTGCCTCCATAGATCAATACCTCCAGACAACTCGGTTTTTGAATAAATACTAATAAAACTGTTTAGTGATGCTAACTTACTTTCCCTATAAAAGAACGATAACTCAAAATACATTTGAGTTACTTCCCTTGTCCACTTGTTGGAGCAGTCACTTTTGAATTCAAGATGGTGATAAGCTGACTCGCACGTGAAACTCATGGTTTAAATCCAAACAAATCCTTGCTGTTCTCAGAGAGTAAATGAATAAAAGTTGTTTTGTTACGTGATCAAATACATTTGTCTTTTATTTTCATCTGTTTTTACTCATCTCAACAACCTAGGATATAACAAAAACTAATTTATTTTCATTTTTTATCTGTTATCCAATAAGAAGAATTACCCAATAATAAGATTTATATATTTATATCTGTAATTACACCACTAAAATTGTGGGCTATATATACAAATGCAATACTTACTAATTACATAATTAATAACTGTCTGATTAAACTAATGTTTATAAAAAATAATTAATAATTACAATAATCACTTCTTACATTTCATTTTGGCAGGTTAGGATAATCCCATAATCTTCAAGATTTTTAGAAATTTATCTTTGTTATTGAAATAAAAGCAAAACTTTAAAAAAAATTCCGTTTTCATTGTCCGAGGGCAGTTGTACTATGGAGTCAGTTGTCCAGGGGGTTATTGTCCGGGGCGGGGTGTTATTGTCCAAGAGGCATTTGTCTTATAGCCATCATTCGTTTCATCCTTTCGGACTTCATCGGATTAAAGCGATTTTTACGTTGATGTAACTACACATGCCCATGAAGGAGAGGGAACGCTGGAATTTTAATCTTTATAGACATTATATTGAGTAAATTACTATACGAGGGTAGGCTGAAGAGTTCATAAGTTGACTATGAAAGTGTGATGCTAGAGTTGTGACATCGTGCGGTCATAAATTCCAAGTCTTATTAATAACTGCATTGTTTCTTTCCAGGAAAACTGATATCTGACTGATCAAAAGTAACTAGTAGCGACTTCTCTTGAAAATGGACAAAATTTGGCATTGTCGTGTTGTCAAGTGCGGGCAGAAAAGGGGTTTAGGCTCCAATGATATTAATGTTGACATGGTTGCTACATTAAGAGATGACTTTCTAGCTTTATCTACCTCGCAAAAGTGGGCAGCTAAATTTAAGAGAATAAAAGAGAGTCTTGAATCAAGTACCGTGTTAACAAATACCTGCATTCATATTGACATAGTTGCTACATTATGGGATAACGCCCCAGCTTTATCAACAGTGCAAAAGTGGGCAGCTGAATTTAAAAGGGGAACTGAGAGACTTGAAACGTCCTGCAAACGAAGAAATCATTG